ATGTACATGTGCAGTTAATTTTGTTTATTAAAAGATATTCAAAATTTGGAGATCTTGTGAAGGGTATCTAAATATTGATTTATAAATTTTTACTTCATTATTAAACAGCATAATCTTTATTATATAACAAATGCCTGTAATATACAACTTATTTGTTGTTGAACATTCCATTGTCTGTCTACATGTAGTGCTTAGTAAATTTCTTGTAAATACAAACATGATTGCATGTTGTTTGTTTACTTTGTCTTTTTTCAATGTGAGTCATGAAATATAAATTGTGTGCATATCAGTTTAAATTATTTTTGTTGAATAACCCTAACCAAGAAAAAATTGATAACTGAATACTAGTATATAATTATGTAGATAGATACCTTCCAGAAATATTTACATGTATTAGTAGCTGCAGATATGTAGCTTATGTGAAATCAGGTTTACTTGAAAATCAATTTACCTGTATTTATTAAACAGAAGTTTAGTGAACACATGCATTCATATACCTAGGCAGCAGTTCATACTGAAAATACACTTGTGTGTTTATGTTTTAGTTATTCAACATTAAAGTTGACCAGAAGTGATCTTGATGAAATAAAACATATATCTCACAATATTTTTTTCTTTTTTTCTCTCCAATTATTCACAGTTTCATTGTATATGAATTGATCAAAGAAACTGACTATACCATTAAAAGAAATCTGGAGTTGTCTTTCCTTGTTTAAAGAAAATATCTGATGCAATGAGTGCTCCCTTGGGTTCATGACCCTGAATCTTAATAAGGTTGGGAGGTGTGGACAAGGTCATTGTATCGACCAAAGAACTTACGAAATGATAAATATATTAGTTTTGGATTTCACATCTGACATGTGATATGTACATTATTTACTATAAAATAAAGCTGCTGTGTGTAGTTGCTGTGTATTCTGCTTACATTTGAAAGTAATGATTGGATTAAAATCCAATTTGTTTCTGTGGATAGGGCAAAACATTACATATATATGGTATACATAAGAATAATATGAATTAAATATTTGTAGTTAATTTTAAGTTTTTTTAGGAATTAAGATAGTTTTATTCTCATATCTATTCAGTTGAAGGCCACTGTAAGGTGTTTTCTTCGCAGGTAAAAGTTCTTGAATAATTCTGCATCAAAGGAATATAAAAACATGTCGGCTTAAAAGGAGTACAATCCCTTACTATTGGTTCCTACATTTTTTTTTAATACATTGTCTTCAATTACTTTGCATATAAAAAAACCCCAACATCCTTGTAATATTAACATAATAGCACTTGTAAAAGTGTATATTGAGTTATTCTATTAAAGAAATTATCTATTTTGTATAATTCATCGTGAGGGATAGTTGCGAGTTATACGTTTTGATGTTGCTTCAACTTAAAAAAAAGTGTTTTTTTTAAAGTTTTCTAAAAGTTCTTTGGAGTTTTTGAGTAACTCTATGATTTGTTGAAGCAAATTATGTATGTAGTTTCTCCTTTGACATAGATTATATTTTTTTTCGTGTGGAGTCAAAAAAGGGGATTGGAAGAGTATTTCTTTCTTCCAGCATTGAGTTTTGTAATTTTTTTTGAGTTTAGGAATACAGTAAATGTAGGGATTTTTGAAACACAGGCAAAACAAAAAGAGATATGCAAGAAGATTTATTGGAACTGTCTTAAGGATGAATTCTTCTGATCAATTTATCCCAAGTGGGTCTTCGTACTTAGACATGTCGTAAAATTCAAACAGATAACAATTAACAAAGAAGTTTTAAAAGTTTTTATGATTAATATGTTTAACTCTATTTATTTTGAAATAAAAAAAATGTTCTATGTTGTATTAATGACCAACACCTGTGCAAAATTACAATATTTACGACATAGGCCTAAGAAAGTCGACAAGTGAAAATCGACATGATCGAGAGGGGAAGACTCAAGAAGACGGAATCGTCAGTTTCAAAGCGACAGGAATGCCGAATGGCACTCCATAAAAAGAACCAATTAACCGACAAAAATTTTAAAACATTTAAAAAATTGCCGACATCACAATTAGGCCTACATTCTCGAAAGCGGTCCCTAAACATGCCAGCCAAGAGAGCTGAACTGTGTTGACGAAATTCCAGTAGCAGCTAGTGGAGGTTTCCAATGCTTTCAAACTTATTGAAATAGCAATGTTTATGCATTATAGATACAAAGGTTTCAAAATACATAGTACAATGTATAATGTCACATCGCAAACTCAAACAAAGCATTAAATGATGAACGTAATGTACATTAGGCCTAAGGTCTCCAGAGGCGTGCAGACGACAACATTCGTATTATCTTTCTTATTGCAACTTTAGCTCTTAGTATATGATAAATTATCTTTGATATTGTAAATGCAGAATCTCTATCCAAAATTTATAGAGATACCGTACGAAAATAATAAGATAACATCGATAATTTTTAGCTGTTCACATTCGGTGAAACTAGGTCGCTTCATTCTATGGCGGCCTATGCGGGTTTAAAAAAATGGAATATCATGGAACATGTAGAAATAATTTGAGTCTAAACTACAGGCCTGGGTTCATAAAAACAAAGTCAGATAGACAAAATAATGATTTTACATTTTTTTGAGCAATGATATTACCAGTGAATTATAATCTATTTTTTCTTACATAATTTTTTACAGGTAAGTCTTGTTTTCACAAGAACCACTAATGAAGGCCTAATTTAGAAGAGAGCAGGGTTTAAGAACCATTAAAATCAGATGGAGAAAACCATGAAAATCAGATTGAGAAAGTGAGACTTGAATTGATTTGACTAATCCCTGTGAAGCCACCATCCAACACCACAGACCAGGACCCAATCCGGAACCCACAAGGCAAGGGAAAGACAGGACATCCAACAGATTATTATGAAGTTTTATGTGTTTATTGATTACTTTTTGTTCTTAAAAATCTTTTCTTAACAAAATTGCAATTGTTACCTGAAATTATCATACTGATTTTGAATATTTGGTGAATAAAATACATACTTTGACGCCTAAATGCCTTGATTTATTTCATTAATTGCTGAAAAAGAAACAGGGGTGGGGATATAAAAATATCAAAACTTTCTTATATGTGCACTAACCCCCACTTTTCTTGCTATGAAAAGGATCTATAATACCCAAAGAAATTGTACAACAATTTTCTTAAAAAAGTTTAATTGTAGAAATATGTTTTTCTTTGGTTTTTCGAGCAATTTTATAGGGAAAAATGTGCCTAATTTTGACATGGGTGATCAACATTTTTGGGTACAAGTTATCTATATTGGTATTCATTTGCTCATATTTTGCTTAAAAAATCAACTTTGCAATATTTTCAAGTAAATTTCAGCCGAATTAAGTTTTAATTCACTGTATTTATAAGTTTTATGTGGTATTTTATGGTATAGTAGCATTTTAAATGAAATTTCCCATGCTCTATTTTGCCCTATGTTCAAAGGGTTGAATCTCTCTTAGATGAACACTAACATACACTTTTCTTGTCTTTAAATTATTCCTTGGATATTACACTTTCAGAAAAATATAAGCATTTAGAAAGTTTAATGCACGTTTTTTCCCGCGTATCATAAGAATACATCCTTAATTGAAGAAATATATGTCCATGGTACATGGTACATGTAGATCATTATTTGCCTTTTTGTAAAATACTTGGTACCTCAGACATTTACAATATCTGTAGACCACTCTTAGTTGAATGAGGGAGGAAGTGGCTTATTGATTTTAATGGCGGCAGTGCAACTGTGGGTGTGTATGTTTGAAAAACATTAACAAAGGCAAACTCAATGATGTCACGTGTAAACGATTGGAAACGGTTTGGGAGGGCTTTGCTCTACTTCCTCTTTGCACTATAGATATACAGATAATTCAGAAGACTGTGGTAATAAGCTTCATCACAAACCAAAAGAGATAGGACTCTGCAATGCAGCGCATTTTGATATTCATTATTTCTTGGTGTTTGATAAATTATTTAAAGTAAGTAATAATTTATGTTTGAAATTTGAATTAAGTTTTTGTAAGTGTGTTAACGATATAGTATAAACATAGTATTTTCAAAAATATTAGGTATAATTTATATAGTAATATTTTATAAGGAACAAGAGAGAAGACTGATTAATTTGTAAATGTGTGAGTGTATGTGTGTGTTTGAGAGAGAGAGAGAGAGAGAGAGAGAGGGGGGGGGAGAGAGAGATCTTTATTTTTTTAGAATAAATACAAGTTATTTTATTGACAAAGAATTAGTAAATACTAAATTCAATAAGAGTATTGTTATACAGTGAAACATATCTTATTCGACATACACTGGGAGACGAATTTTGTGTTGAATTGCAGTGTAAAAAAAAATTGTAAATTGTAAAAAAAAAAAAAAAAAAAAAAAAAAAATGGAACGAAATCAAAGGTGGGAATTCACAGTGTGATGTATTACAGGGTGTCGGATTACACAGTTTTCATTATACAGTTTTTTTTATTTTAATTGTATCTGTCTTATTTTGTTCATTTCTATTTTAAATATACGCAATCACCTAAATTTAACATGACTCAGTTCGAGCAATTTAAGCTTTCGACCGCAAGAACTCTGTATCGGCATGCACTCCTTTGATATACATGTATATACTAGAACATGTAGGCAAGTCTGGGTTTTCAGAGTTTGCATCGTTCGCTGAATTCCTTGATTTTAGGCATAGCGGATTTAAAAGATATAGATGAAATATAATTCTTAAACATTTATTCTAAACTTCTCTTCTTTTAGTTTGAAACATTTATGGCTCATGAATCTTGCAAATCGGCAATTCCTTCATACGTCGTCTTGAAGAATTTATTTAATTTGATTTGTTCAACAGTAGGAAAACCTATCGAGAGATATGCTGCTGCCATGTTCTAAATTTTGAATTTACCGGGTGGGAGTAAATAAAAAATTATTTACTCCCACCCGGTAAATTCAAAATTTAGAAATTGAAACTGGGTAGTTCCAGCAAACAAATATTTTCTTTTGTCTCCTTTATCGTTTAGCGTCTATAGTGTTAAACTTGCCATCCGAAAAGTTACTAGTTAGTGTATTGGAGTAAGATGCAAAGTTCAGACCTCCAAGCCATGTTTATATTATTTTAAGGTAAAATAAACGATGCTGTTTATGGTTACCATATTTTAAAAAATTGTCTATAAAGCTGGCGGCTGGTTGGTTACTCTAAATAAGGAAATTTTCTCCCCCCGTTTATTTTCGCCCCTTTTGCCCTAGTCTGGCGTGAGCGAATTTAAAACGGGGCAAATTCAAAGTAAACTGTATAATATCTTAAACAAAAATCTTTTTGGGCGAATTTAAAACGGGACAAACTTGTTTTTAGATGTGAAAGGGTGAAAATAACAAGGATTGAAAAATAACTCTGTATACAGTATGTTTCACAAGAATTGTTGCATGTAAACGTCATCACACATCCTAACCTCATTAGCATAAATCGGAAGAATTCGGAGATAAGCGTAATAAAATATGAACAAAATCCGTTAACGTTCGAGCAGCTTTCCTCGCGAGAATATAGCGAGACCAACATGCTAGAGGTGAAAATCGAGAGAGAAATTCAACATGAAAAAAGAGGTAAAACTTTATGTTATCTCAATTTATCATATTTGTAAATTGAAAAAAGTTGAAAAACAAACGTTTCTTTAACTGAAAAGTGAAAGTAGGTTTGCAGTTTCTTATTCTGTCAAGTGCTAATTTCCACGTGGAAGGGAGTAGTTGTGTTTGTGTCGGTCAAGATTAACCCACATACAATGATTTAGTAAACAAAAACACTCGTAAGTAGAATTTCATTTTTTTTTCGATTACCTGTTGCAGAAAATGGCAAAATAGTTTAGGGCTTGTTTGTCAAATGCTGTTAATAGCATGTCTTAAATTGAAGAGAAAATGCAGTTGTGCTATAGTTCGTTCCTACTTGTAAGATAGTCTACTATGCATGCATAGGCACAGTTACGCGTATATAAGTCATTATTCTTACTTATCAATACCCAGCGATTTGTGAGAACCATACCGTAAATCTGGAAATTTTTACGTCGATTTATTTTTGCGAATATGGGTCAAAAAGCTGTTGATTAATTTTTACGCTTCAAATTTTTGCGAATTGTCACTGGTGCTAAAAATAAAAATCACTGAAGATTTTCATATCAGGTTATGTTTCAAATAATATGCCCATTTAGAATACCACCAATATACTCACAACGTGGCAAGATATTGCAAAATCGCTCCGAAACAATTTTGAAAAAAATACAAAAGGATTTGCACTGAAAATAATTTCTAAGTCAATTGTGTGTAAACAGGTTTCTTTTAAAAATGACCAGTGCTTACCGACACCTATTCACTGAGTTAAAAAATTAAAAAAAGAGTTCTAAGAAAAAAAAATCTTCGCACGTTGATTTATTTTTAAGAAAAATATTTTTGCGAAAGCAATGCACGCGCAAATTTGCTAAAAATTTATCTACAGTAAAAATTTCCAGATTTACGGTATGTGTTTTTTTTTAAATACCAAGAGACTAAAATTTAATTCTATCCGTGCTCGTGTGTTTGCACAAGTAGTTCTTCCGAATTTCCTCTACACATATACATGTGTACCTGGATGAAGGTTTGTTTACATTTGTTTGCAGTTTTAATTGAATCAGCTGTTTATATCAATCATGCAGTTTTCACTAGAGCCTACTGATCAAAATATGATTGTTACTTTTCTAATTTTAATATCACTGAATTTATGATCAGATGATGTCAATGCAGTTCTCACATACTTGTGTATATATCAGGTATGAAACTTCACATATGCAGTTGTCGCCCGCGTGGTTCAGTGATTAGAGCGTCTGCTCTAGAGTCGGGAAGTACGGAGTCCATGATCTTACTTTGCTGGTGTAAATCCCACTGTGGGACGTGCAGACTGGTCCTTCAGATTAGACCGTATAAACCGAGGCCCTGTATCGCTGTAGGTGCTGGCACAAAAAAGATCCCTCTCTGCTCAAAGGCCCTCAGTGCCCAGCATAGGAAAAAATTTGTAGCCCTCCACCGGCAAGTGGTGGCATCTCCATATGAGTGAAAAATTCTCGAGAGGGACATTATAAATAACGTACAGTCAATCAATCACATCTGCAGTTTATGTAAATTTTTGAATATTTCTATGTGTACCACTATTTTCCCTTTTAAAGTATTGCCCCAACTAAAAATAAATGAAATATAGTATAAATATAATAAAACTAGAGGTACGGTGAGCAATGAACTCCGACACTAAATGATACCCACCACTTCTCATATGATAATGAATGTGTCCATGTTTTGCTATGGGAAACCCCAAATATGTGACGGATCTAAAAGTAAAATAGAAGCTGCACAATGGCAATGTGTAATCATACTGGTACAGATTCTGTGAAAGTCATCAAATATCACTCAATGGTATGAGAGGAATTAGCAGATAAGAGATGTGTACACCAAAGCATAACAGACAAACGGACATACCGATTACTTAATATACCATCCCGCTTTTCAAGCTGGGGGTATAATAAATTACATGCATGGATCATTCTGTGTAATGAAAAGATATTGTTTAAGATAATTTACATTGATGTTTTGCATTTTTGTTTGTAAGAATACATGTATTTAATTTACATATTGATTAATTATTTCAATGTGTTAATGAAAAGTAATTTTCTTTTTTGTTTTTTTATTAGGGCCCCGCAAGAATTTGCGGGTGCCCTATAGTAATCACCCTGTCTGTCCGTCTGTCATTCTTCTGTCCAAAAATTTTTTGTTTTTTCCTAATAACTTTTTTATGGTAGTCCACTTAAGTTCAAATTTGGTATGGTAGTTCAGTAGGCAGAAAGACATATTTTGATGCCAAGTTTGTTTTTCTATGTCCTCTGGTTTGGAGCTGGGGTTGTGGGGTAGATTCCTTAACTTTATATAAGAATGAATTGGCAAAGAGAGATAACTTCTTTAAATGTTCCCATTGTAAACTGAATGCTGCAATGAGTCCCTTGGGATTAATTAGCTCTCCTCCTGAAGAAAATCCAAAGCATTATCTTTATCTGTCACATTGAGATTAATCACCACCTCTGTCTGCATATGAAGTTTATTTTGAAGTTAAGAACACTCTGAAATGTGGATTTAAGTATAAATGTTTATACTTTATATTTGTTGGAATACCCTATACAAAGAGTTCTGATTTCATTGAATTATAAAAACAAGAAATATATTAAAGTAGATATATTTTTTTATTTTTTATTTTTTTTTTTTAATGTTAATCTAAGAATATTATTAATTTTCAATGTAGTAGGATAAAAACCTCATTCCATCATTACTGAAAAAGTTCTTATTGTAAATTTAGAAGAAAATGATGAGAGAGAATACTAATCCCTTGGGATTAATTATCTAGCCTGCTGCAGAAAATTTAGAAGGCTTATCTGTATCTGTCACTTTAAGATTAATGAAAACCTTTGTCTGCAACTGCTGTTTGTTTTGAAGTTAAGGTCAAGCCTTCATGATATGTATTTGCATTCATTGAAGGCTGGCATATTTTTATATAAGGCCGGTTTACCCTATGCATCTTGACACATGCATCTAAACTCATGCTTCAATTTTGAATCATGCATCTTCTTATTTACACTATGTGTCTTGATGCATGCATCTTTAGAATACTTTGTAAAGATGAAGTTTATCTTCTTAAAAAAATTAAAATACCTTCAAATTTCATTTCCATATTTATTTTAGCTGAACAAATCATTCTTAATTTCCTTTTCATGACAATTCTTGGAAGATATAATTTATATTTGTTCCAAAACAAAACCCCCTTTTTATTATGATAATCAAATTGGTTTTTCTAATTATTGTTTTAATCAGTATTATCTGTTTTTGTATATCTTGGGAAACTATTTTTGCAATTTTATAAAGGAAAATAAGGCTTATGATTCAATCTAAACTCTGACCTTTCTTTTCATTGGTCAGTTCCATGCATCTTGAAGCATGGAATAGAACAAGTTCTATTCAATCATTCAAGATGCAACACCCATTTAATTTGAAACAAGGGGCTATTACACTGTGAATCTTGACACATGCATCCAAGATGCATGTGTCAAGATGCATAGTGTAAACCGGCCTTTAAAAAAAAGCTTCATTTATATTGTTTAAATATACATTCAATGCTGAGTTGTTCTTTACACAGTTTACTGCCTTATATATGTAAATACAAGAATATTATTTACAGGATTTTGCATATTTGGGAATTATCTTGAAATTTTAAGAATACAGTTGATGTTTCTTTTTCTTCATATATTTTTGAATAATTTTATAAACTGCACCCTCATAATTCTACCCCATGGCGGGGCCCTTGCTGACTGGTCAGTTTTCTAGTTACAGGTTAGAGTACATTTTGAACAGCCATCTCCAGGTATGACAAAAATAACACAATTGACCCTATAAGGTAATAAACAAACATTATTGAATTTAGAAAATGTATATAATGTATCACAAATGTGAAATCATTGTAGGGCTAGATATAGTTTTCTTTCACCATGTTCACTGCTCACTCAGACTTTTTACTGGTCAGCTCATCATAATATCACTATCCCACTGCTAGATTTGAATAAAAAGAGACTGACCAAAAACCATCATAATTATAATCATAATTAATGTAATAGTTATATTTTATTTATTTAATGTGATACACAGTTGGACAAATAATTAATTTAAATAAAACAGGATTCTGAAATGACAGAACTCTGAAACAAGCTTGTCAAGTAACTAGCTCAACTATAATTGTATTTTTTCTTATACATAGACCTGACCCAAAAGACAGATGCCCCCTACCATGTACTAGCCTAGATATAAAAAAACAGTCATGTGGGCCTTCAATTATTTTTTGGCCTTGCATTGTAAAGTCAGCTATCAAGACATTCCATCCTTTTTTGTTGTTTGTTTTTTTAATGATATGCACCATACCAAACAAATTGTACACACAAGAATTTTTTTCCACTTTTAAAATATGGGCTTTACATGTATATAATGTATGTCTTTTGATTATTTTGAAGAATGACATTGTTGATTGAATTTTAAAATGGTCTTCAATATGTATGCACATGATAATGTATTAAATGCACAAAAATTATAATTTCATGAAAATAAATTTTAAAAAAAAGCAAATATAAAAAAATAAATCAATTCAATTATACACTAATGTGCAATGAATGTTTCTTGCAGGATATACTCTGAAGACAGTGATGTGCAAGATCAAGGTTTGACTGTTGTGAGTATTGTAAATGTAATTATAAGGATAAATTTATAACATTTAATAGGCAACATTATTATTTAATTATTATCATCCTGATCATGCTGATCATGGAATAAACAAAGACAGGCGCGGATCCAGACATTTTTAAAAGGGGGGGTTGAAGTTTTTTTCAAAAGGGGGGGGGGGTTGAAGGCGAAAACAGTTAAAACGTACGTTGTACACATACATATAGTTAAATAACTCAATAGAATATCGATACAGGGTGGAGTATGGATTTTGAAAGTGGGACGTTGATCAATCTGGGGAAAAGTACTTGTATACATTACCAGAAAGTTTTTGAAAAAGAAAGGAAAATAAGTCTCCGAACCTGAAAATCCTATTTTGTAAAGGGATGGGGTTTTATTTTGTTTTTACAATCGAATTTCTTTATATATTACACATTAGCCTTTCACCTTACATTTTCTATAGTAAAAACACAACAACAAAATTGGAACTTTCTTATTTCTCTTTCTTTTCGCAAATCCAAAGGGAGGGGGGGGGTTGCAACCCCCGTAACCCCTCCTCTGGATCCGCCACTGAAAGAAGAATTATGCTGATACATAAATCAGCATATTATGCAAACTGTAAATAATTGCATTACATATTTTTTTCTGATTTGCATGTAGTGCATTGATATCTGTCAGTATTTGTCATTCAGCTTTCTTTCCACATTATTGCAAATGCTTGTATTTTATTTGGATTAATTAATTTAGAGCATGATTGTATTAACTTATTAATCATATTTGTAGTTAAGCTGTAACAAAACAAATTATCTGATGAAAGCTGCAACCATGAGAATAGGAAAGGATGTCAAGTCCAAAGAGAAGGTATGTTGATTACTGGTGATGATATGTGTTTGATGTAATTAGAGTACAGCAATAAAATAGAGAGAACAATAGTAATCCCACTTTATCTGTAGGCAAAAAATTAAAAAAAATAAATCTAAATTCTTTTCAAGAATAGGCAGGTCATGATTAATCACTCAGAGATAGTTAAGAGCAGATTTAGATTTGTTCAGACCATATAGCTATAGGGTAGGGTGGGTCCACAGTTGGGGATCAAAATTTTATTCTGGAATATTTAAGGCTGAAGCCTTTTATTATAAAATCTTTTCAAGATTATCAGGGTCACGATACATCTTATTTTTTGAATGAATACATCCTAGTACAGAATCCCAGAATCAAGGGTAATGGATGTGCCATAATTAGAAACAGAATGTTTATCTTGAAAGTCCTATGTAAATATAGGAAAATCATTTTGTTTATTTCTTGGCTTTTAAGTTAAGTAGAGATGAAAATAATATAAGTTTTCATTATTTAAATACCTATTTTATGGAGACTTCAGATGATATCTATGTAAGGTGAAAAAAGCTACAATTTTCAGAAAGAAAGCAATATTTTGGGGTTATAAAAAAGGGGCATAACTCTCATCATAGTATTACATGATGGATGTCAGATAATGTGAAAAAATGTGTACTGTTGGAAAACAAGTTAATACATTGCAGTCTGAATAAGTACAGTTAAACAACAGTATCTTAAAATCAAACAACTTTGACTACCTAGGGCATGTTGACGTTCATGACAGTATTACAATTGGATGAATGATTTGCAAACTCTTTGAATTGCATATGATTTACTTTTGTTAATTTTTAATAATTTGCTCATTTTGCGCACATCTCTTTCTCATGCAGATTATCAATGAATACTGATAGATTGAATTAGCAACTGTAAATGGCATATATGTATATGCATTTTATATACTCTGTTTAGAGTTGAACTTAGGTATATATCTTTGACACTGAGTGATATCTTGAACACACTGAGATTTCAAAGTCATTTTAAAGTCCCTTGAACAACATTTTTTTCCTATATATCTTACCCTGAATCTCTTGGATATCTCAGTTTCAGCAGTCCCATAAGCATTTCAAGAAGTGTGACTTTATTTTATTGATTCAATTCATTTATGATGAATTATTAAAATATCAAACATATACTTTTATGTTAGTGCATCAACATTTTATATTTTTCAGGCAATATAACAAATGGTTGCTGAATTCATGAAGACTAGCTGGGATGATACAGTACTTTTCTACTCTTATGAACCATATCTAAACATCATTTGAGGATCCCTTTGTCAGAAAAAAAAGAATTTGCATATTCAAAGACTCTATAGTTTATTGTTTATTTGTATGTTGTTTAACATTCTTCTTGAAAATTTTTAACTCATATGGGGATGCCAACATTTGCAGGTGGAAAGCTGCAAATTTTGTCCTTACTTGGAACACATGGCTAATTGAGCAATGAGGGATCATTTTGGTGCTAGCACCTACTGCAACACAGGACCTCTGTATATACAGTCTCATCTCTATGTCTGACTGTGGGATTTCGAACCAGCAATTTAAGGATCAACTCCTTATTCATGACTTCTCGAGCAGACGCACTTGCCACTGCGTCATGCAGGTGACTTCATAGGTTATAGAATAAAAAGATAGGATTTATAACTTAAAACTGATGTTTTTTATTCAATCACAGTATAGAAAATGTTTGCAAAAAAGGGAGGTAATAGCTACATGTAGCTCTCACTGGTATTGCATGCTTAAACTATATGCATTACATATTTTAATTACATATTATTTTAAACCAGATCAGTAAAGAAATAAACATGAAAATATTTTTACTATGAATTTTATTATAAGGTTGATTATCTTTAAAAATTGGAACTTTTTTTTTTGAGTAGGAAGAAAAAAATAATTAGAATGTACATGTGCAGTTAATTTTGTTTATTAAAAGATATTCAAAATTTGGAGATCTTGTGAAGGGTATCTAAATATTGATTTATAAATTTTTACTTCATTATTAAACAGCATAATCTTTATTATATAACAAATGCCTGTAATATACAACTTATTTGTTGTTGAACATTCCATTGTCTGTCTACATGTAGTGCTTAGTAAATTTCTTGTAAATACAAACATGATTGCATGTTGTTTGTTTACTTTGTCTTTTTTCAATGTGAGTCATGAAATATAAATTGTGTGCATATCAGTTTAAATTATTTTTGTTGAATAACCCTAACCCAGAAAAAATTGATAACTGAATACTAGTATATAATTATGTAGATAGATACCTTCCAGAAATATTTACATGTATTAGTAGCTGCAGATATGTAGCTTATGTGAAATCAGGTATACTTGAAAATCAATTTACCTGTATTTATTAAACAGAAGTTTAGTGAACACATGCATTCATATACCTATGCAGCAGTTCATACTGAAAATACACTTGTGTGTTAATGTTTTAGTTATTCAACATTAAAGTTGACCAAAGGTGATCTTGTTGAAATAAAACATATATCTCACAATATATTTTTCTTTTTTTCTCTCCAATTATTCACAGTTTCATTGTATATGAATTGATCGAAGAAACTGACTATACCATTAAAAAAAATCTGGAGTTGTCTTTCCTTGTTTAAAGAAAATATCTGATGCAATGAGTGCTCCCTTGGGTTTATGACCCTGAATCTTAATAAGGTTGGGAGGTGTGGACAAGGTCATTGCATCGACCAAAAAACTTACGAAATGATAAATATATTAGTTTTGGATTTCACATCTGACATGTGATATGTACATTATTTACTATAAAATAAAGCTGCTGTGTGTAGTTGCTGTGTATTCTGCTTACATTTGAAAGTAATGATTAGATTAAAATCCAATTTGTTTCTGTGGATAGGGCAAAACATTACTTATATATGGTATACATAAGAATAATATGAATTAAATATTTGTAGTTAATTTTAAGTTTTTTTTAGGAATTAAGATAGTTTTGTTCTCATATCTATTCAGTTGAAGGCCACTGTAAGGTGTTTTCTTCGCAGATAAAAGTTCTTGAATAATTCTGCATCAAAGGAATATAAAAACATGTCGGCTTAAAAGGAGTACAATTCCTTACTATTGGTTCCTACATTTTTTTAAGTACATTGTCTTCAATTACTTTGCATATAAAAAAAACCAACATTCTTGTAATATTAACATAATAGCACTTGTAAAAGTGTATATTGAGTTATTCTATTAAAGAAATTATCTATTTTGTATAATTCATCGTGAGGGATAGTTGCGAGTTATACGTTTTGATGTTGCTTCAACTTCAAAAAAAATTTTTTTTTTAAGTTTTCTAAAAGTTCTTTGGAGTTTTTGAGTAACTCTATGCATGATTTGTTGAAGCAAATTATGTATGTAGTTTCTCCTTTGACATAGATTATATTTTTTTTCGTGTCGAGTAAAAAAAGGAAATTGGAAGAGTATTTCTTGGTTCCAGCATTGAGTTTTGTAATTTTTTTTGAGTTGAGGAATACAGTAAATGCAGGGATTTTTGAAATACAGGCAAAAACAAAAAGAGATATGCAAGAAGATTTATTGGAACTGTCTTAAGGATGAATTCTTCTGATCGATTTATCCCAATTGAGTCTTCGTACTTAGACATGTCGTAAAATTCAAACAGATAACAATTTACAAACAAGTTTTAAAAGTTTTTATGATTTATATGTTTAACTCTATTTATTTTGAAATAAAAAATTGTTCTATGTTGTATTAATGACCAACACGTGTGCAAAATTACAATATTTACGACATAGGCCAAAGAAAGTCGACAAGTGAAATCGACATGATCGAGAGGGGAAGACTCAAGAAGACGGAATCGCCTGTTTCAAAGCGACAGGAATGCCGAATGGGACTCCATAAAAAGAACCACCGACAAAAATTTTAAAACATTTAAAAAATTGCCGACATCACAATTAGGCCTACATTCTCGAAAGCGGTCCCTAAACATGCCAGCCAAGAGCGCTGAACTGTGTTGACGACATTCCAGTAGTAGTGGAGGTTTCCAATGCTTTCAAACTTATTGAAATAGCAATGTTTATGCATTATAGATACAAAGGTTTCAAAATACATAGTACAATGTATAAAGTCACATCGCAAACTCAAAAAAAGCATAAATGATGTACGTAATGTACATTAGGCCTAAGGTCTCCAGAGGCGTGCAGACGACAACATTCGTATTATCTTTCTTATAGATAGTTTTCGATTGACCTAAATTTAGCAAAAGTTACCTCCCGTTGGTCGCCATACTGGAGGTCCAAATGCTCATATTCCTTCATTGTTCAACCAATTTTAAATTTTTATATTTGCGATTTTGAATTAGGAATCATTATTTTTCTGAAGTATATAAATTTTTGGAAGCCTCCTTTATTTAAAAAAAAAATTTAATGAAGATTTTCCATCAAGTATTTATGCTATATTTTCTTAAACTTGGTAAGACAAAGAGGAAAACTCACCGAGTCGACCTCCAATAAGGCGACCAACGGGAGATAACTTTAGGTCAATCGAAAACTATCTATTGGAACTTTAGCTCTTAGTATATGATAAATTATCTTTGATATTGTAAATGCAGAATCTCTATCCAAAATTTATAGAGATACCGTACGAAAATAATAAGATAACATCGATAATTTTTAGCTGTTAACATTCGGTGAAACTAGGTCGCTTCATTCTATGGCGGCCTATGCGGGTTAAAAAAATGGAATATCATGGAACATGTAGACATTATTTGAGTCTAAACTACAGGCCTGGGTTCATAAAAACAAAGTCAGATAGACAAAATAATGATTTTACATTTTTTTGAGCAATGATATTACCAGTAAATTATAATCTATTTTTTCTTACATAATTTTTTACAGGTAAGTCTTGTTTTCACAAGAACCACTAATGAAGGCCTAATTTAGAAGAGAGCATGGTTTAAGAACCATTAAAATCAGATGGAGAAAACCATGAAAAGCAGATTGAGAAATGGAGACCGGATTTTATACTAATCCCTGTGAAGCCACCATCAAACACCACAAACCAGGACCCAATCCGGAACCCACATAGCAAGAGAAAGAGGGGACATCCAACAGATTATCATGAAGTTTTATGTGTTAATTGATTACTTTTTGTTCTTAAAATTCTTTTCTTAACAAAATTGCAATTGTTACCTGAAATTATCACACTGATTTTGAATATTTGGTGAATAAAATATATACTTTGACGCCTAAATGCCTTGATTTATTTTCATTAAATGCTGAAAAAGAAACAGGGGTGGGGATACAAAAAATATCAAAACTTTCTTATATGTGCACTAACCCCTACTTTTCTTGCTATGAAAAGGATCCATAATACCCAAAGAAATTGAACAACAATTTCCTTAAAAAGTTTAATTGTAGAAATATGTTTTTCTTTGGTTTTTCGAGCAATTTTATAGGGAAAAATGTGCCTAATTTTAACATGGGTGAACAACATTTTTGGGTACAAGTTATCTATATTGGTATTTATTTGCTCAAAATTTGCTTAAAAATCAACTTTGCAATACATTCAAGTAAATTGAAGCCGAATTAAGTTTTAATTCACTTTATTTATAAGTTTTATGAGGTATTTTATGGTCTAGTAACATTTTTAATGAAATTTCCAATGCTCTATTTTGGCCTATGTTCAAAGGGTTGAGCCTCTCTTAGATGAACACTAACTGTACTGTCCGTGTTCTAGACACTTATAACAGAAACACGTCTGCTCGCTTTAACGCTTTAATTCTAAACTACATAACTAAATGATTACACAAATCGGCATGGCTGAAACTGTCAACATCAATTACTGAACTTGTATTTAACATATAATATCCTGCTGGTATCAGGGATAGCAAATTCCTAAACGTGGGAAGACATTAAATCTGAATGTCTATTTTAAGATATGAACATTACATCCCTCTTCACCTTAGACAGAAAAACAAATCTTTACATAATTTCTGAAATGACAGCCTGTAATGCCAATAACTAATCTTTATACAAATAGAGAATAAAGTTACAGTCAGATAACAAAAAGTCAATCACTTTTTTTCTCAGGTGGTTACATAGTCTTTTAGATAGGCGGGTGGTTTACGTTCCCGTGATGGTCTTCCGGTATGTGTGACAGAACGGTCTTTATCCGATTCGTCTCCTGTTTCGTCTGCGCTAATTTTAGGGTCA